GAAAAATAACTTAGCTTAATTGAATTCTAATTTATAAAGAAAATAAACCTCTCATCCTTTCACTCTGGCTATCTCTACTACAAATCCTTATTTCAGTCTATCAGTCATTCCTTTGGATTATTCCCACAGCCTCTTAACTGAGTTTTCAGCTTTTAGTCCTTCATAAATCCATTCTCCACTCTGGAACCAGAATTATTTATTTATTTATTTATTTATTTATTTATTAAAAGATTTTATTTATTTATTTGACAGAGGGAACACAAGCAGGGGGAGTGGGAGAGGGAGAAGCAGGCTTCCCACTGAGCAGGGAGCCCGATGCGGGGCTCGATCCCAGGACCCTGGGATCATGACCTGAGCTGAAGGCAGACTAAGCCACCCAGGCGCCCCCAGAATAATTTTTCTAAAAATTTAAAATTTAAGTTTGATCTTATGACACCTACCACCCAGTCTTAAAGTACTGCAATAGTTCCCCCAATGCTCGAGTATAGTTTAAGCTTTCCTTTCCTCTCTTATCCTGTTTCTTTCTTTTCCCACTTCCAAATTCTACAGACATACAAATAATAGATTTCTCACATGCAACACTATTAACTTAGTCTCTCCCTATTTAACATCATTTTCCCAACCTGTTCAAACTCAATTAGGCACCACTCTTTAATGCTTCCATTAAGTAGCTATCCCAAGAATAACTGGTTTTATACCATATGGTAACTATCTGGCTTGTCTTTTCTCCCTCACCTAATAAGTTCTTAAAAGACAAGGATTTGGGTTTTACTTAACAAGAATATTTAATACCTAGTATCTAGAAAAAAATCTGGAACAGAGTAGACTTAAATATTTGTTGGATGAACCCATGCACTATTGAACTATTACGGGTTGAATTGTTGCCCTCCCAAAAGATATGTTAAAATTCTAACCCTCAGTATCTCAGAATCTGACCTTATTTGAAAACAGGATCATTGCAATTATAATCAGTTAAGGTGAGGTCATCCTGGATCACCACCACGTGAGATAGACACAGAAGTGCTGCAGATGCAAGCCAAGAAATGCCAAGGATTGCTAGCAAACCATCAGAAAAGGTAAGAGGCAACCAAAATTTTTCCCCTCCGTATGACCTCGCTATAACCTTGATTTTGGACTTCTGGCCTCAGAATTGTGAGACAATAAATTTCTGCTGGTTTAAATCACCCAGTTTGTGGCTCTTTGTTATAACAGCCCCTGAAAACTATGCCCAAATACTTGGTGAACCAATTTACACTTTAGGTGTATACATTTCCTCTGTCTCCCTATACCCCAAACCTCAACTCTTCCTTGAAAGTTAGGTTAAAAAAATTAATCATTATGTGTGGACGTAGTAAGGTAGCTTAATGTAATAGGATATAATAGAATAGATGATTAAATTCACATATTTGGATTCAAACAAGGATTTGTACAGGACTTATCGAAACAACTGGGTGGTTCAGATTTGTTTTAATTCAGTATTTTAATTTGTCAACTATTCTGTCATTTCTAGCAGAATCAGGAGAGTTAATGAAAGGAAATAAAATCCAAGGCAACTTTAAAAAAACAGCAAATTACCCTTAGGAAAAGTAAAAAAAAAATAAAAGTAATTCACTTATAAAATTTTACTTATTATTCCTGTAGTTAATTTTTAAAAACAAACTCTCATTGGTTATTTCAGTGAAAAAGTTGAGAATTACGTGTTTATCTTCTCTTACACAGACTGTATAATTACCACGGGAGAGGAATCTGACATATCAAGAGATAGGTCTCTTTTTTCTCTAGAAAATTCCTAGAAGCCAACCATTACTCAGTCTTTTGTTTTTTCAACTTTATCCCTAAATTCTGTTCATTAAACTAAGAGTCAGCCTTTTTTCCCCCAATTCTTTCTCACAAGTAAAGCGTATACCCACACTTGCCAAGCCTTATGTTTCTTTAAGAACTATATTTGCAGATTAAATTATCTTGTATATAGAAAATCTTAAGGAATCTACTATAAGCCATTAGAATAAATTCAGTAAGTTTATTAGATTCAAAATCAGTATGCAAACACCAACAGTATTTGTAATGAACAATCGAAAAGATGAAATAAAAAACTCAATTCCATTTATAATAGAATCCCCCCCAAAATACATTACTCAGGAATAAACTTAATAAAAAAAGTCCAAGATTTACACTCTGAAAACTACAAAACACCACTGAAAGAAATTACAAAAGATCTAAGTAAACGGAAAAATATCCCATGTTCTAAGATGGCAAACCTCCAAACTGATTTATGGATTCAATGCCATATGTACCAGGATTCCAGCTGAATTGCAAAAATTGACAAGCTGATTCTAAAACTTATACAGAGTTGCAAAGGACCAAGACGAGCCAAAACCTGAAGAATAAATAGGAAGACTCCAAACTTCCCAACTCAAAACTTACTACAAAGCAAGACATATAGATCATGGAACAGAACTGAGGGTTCAGGAATAAATTCATGTGCCTATGGTCAACTGATTTTCAGCAAGGGTGAAATCATTCAATGGAGAAATAATAGTCTTTTCAACAAATGGTACTGGGACAGTTGGATAGTTGTCACAAGCAAAGAATCAAGTTAAAATCCTTACCTCACACCACATACAAAAATTATCTCAAAATGAATCAAAGATCTAATTATAAGAACTAAAACTCATAGAAGAAAACACATAGGGGTAAATGTTCATGACTTGAGGTTTGGAAATGGATTCTTAGATATGACATCAAAAGCATGAGAAAAACTAAAGATAAAATATATAAACTCGGCCTCATCAAAATGAAAAACTTTTATGTCCTAAAGGGCACTAGTAATATAGTGACAGTAGTAAGAAAAGACAACTGGGGTGTCTGGGGTGGCTGAGTCAGTTAAGTGTCTGACTCTTGATTTCAGCTCAGGTCTTGATCTCAGGGTCGAGCGATTGAGCCCCGTGTCTGGCTCCGAACTGAGGGTGGAGATTTGAGATTTGAGATTCTCTGATTCTCTCTCTGCCCTTCCCCCTGGCTCTCTCTCTCAAAATAAATAAACAAATCTTAAAAAAAAAAAAAATACAACTGACAGAATGGGAGAAGACATTAGAAATCCTCTATCTCATAAAGGATTTCTATCTAGAATATATAAAGAACCCATAAAACTCAGTAATAAAAAGACAAATAACCCAATTAAAAACCAAGCAAAGGATCTGAATAGGCATTTTTCCAAAGGAGAAAAGACAAAAAGTCAATAAGCTCTTATCATCATACTGTAATTACAACTGTTTGCTTACACACTTATCTTCTATATTGGAGCTAGTTTTCTGAAGACAGGGAATATATATGTTATTCATCTTTAATCACCTGTTGTCAGGTTCTGGACTTGGCATGTAGCAGGGATTCAGAAAATGTTGCGTGTATTTGCATTTGAGACTTATATTTGGGATAGTGCTAAAGATAAGGATAGAATTAAACAGAAATACTTTGTAGAGATAAGATTACAAATCTTAAAGAAGAATATAAAGCAATAAAAATAAACAGCAAGCACCTATATATAGTGCTTATTATATGCTAAGCACCATTTTAAATGCTTTAGATTAATTCAATTTTTGAACTCCTAAGTAAAATAATCAATTACAAATAAAATGCTATGATTCAGAACAGTTGAGAAGCTCAGAGAAGGCAAAAATCATTATGTAGTGAAGCCCATCAGATAAAATTTTGTGGGGGAAGTCTGTTAAATCCAGTATATAAAAACTGACTGGATAATAGAAGAGCACACATAGAAAGTAAAGAGCATGTACAAATGGAGAGGAAAAAAGGAAAGGATGTGGCATATATGCAAGATAATAAAGAGGACCGGCTTCACTAAAAAAAGGTGTTTAGATAAAGATGAGGAACAGCAAAGATTATAATAAGAATTTGAACATGCTTTCATAAGCAAACTGGTATCATGTAAGTTCCTTACACCAAAAAGAAATAGCAAGGAAATTCAACTAGTTCAAGTGAAGCAGAAAAACAAATTCATACTGTTAACTACTTCAGGATGACAGTGTAAGGTGTGAAGTAAGTAAGATGTGAAAGCAGAGTTCTGACAATGGGAATGAAGAAGGCCTATACCTAAGAGTTATTCTGAACCAAGAACCTGATAAATAGGATATGGTGAATAGAAAACAAGGAATCAAATGTACTTCTTGAGGTTTCAAGAATTCTAAATAAAACACAGGGAGGAACCATCCAGTGAATACCCCATCCTACCCCCAAAGAAAAAAGTGATAATGTAAATTATTAGGCATTGGGGGGAAGAATAGGCAATACTGAACTTTGGAATATAGATACAGAACTCTATCTAAGAAGCAAAGCAGATGAACTTTCTAAGGGCAAAATAGAATAGTGATTAGGATACTTATCACAGAATTATCTGAAGGCTAAACAAACTACATTTACTACATTTCTCCTGCCCTCACCCAGCCTGAGAAAAAGAAAGGAGGGGGCAACAGTTGTAAATTAAGAGACATAACAATAAAGTATCTTCTGTGGACCCTAACGGGGTCCACAAAACACCTACTGTAAACAGACATCTCTGAAACATCGGGGGAAATATCTTAATAGATTAGGATATTTAGATGATCCAGAAATTACTGTTATGCTTTGAACTCTGTGGTACTTATAAATGATTTAATAAATTCATAAATCAATTTTAAACTATTTAGGGAAAGATCTGTGAACAAAGCAACTTGAGTTAATAGCATTATTTTTAACTCAGAAATTTGTTTTATGGTTGGAGGGAATGAGAACCTAGATGAATAAGTTAGGGTTTGAATAGTAATAATGAGAGTATTTTTAAACATAATATATCTCAAAATAAAGTTTTAAATGTATGCAAGGAGAATCCAGAATATACTGGTACTTCTTTGATCTTTATTTTTGCTCTCACTGAATCAGAAGCAATAAAATCCCTCAACTCCCTCTTCCCCCAACAACTGAGTGTGCTTTCTATTGTTCTCTTTTGCATGGTTCGATGATATCCAGCTTGGCATTCCTTTTTTGGTGTGACTTAAGCTCACTAATCATGCTAAGACTTACACTGGTCACTCGACGGTAGATCTGAGCAGCATTTTGGCATTCTGAGTAAGGGTATTCAGATGTGGCCATCTCAAGCATGCACATCCCAAAAGCATAAACGTCAACAGATTCATCGTATTTTTCCTCATACATCTCGGGGGCCATGAACTCTGGGGTACCTTAAATTAAAAGAACAATTCAGACTCAATGTGAGCAGAGGCTACAGATAGTACTCACCTGGGGAAGAAGCAGAGGGGTTGATCTGTGAGATAGAAGGAAGTGGAAGGGGGGAAGAGAAGAGAGAAGAGTGGTGGGGGCAGGGAAGAGGAAGAAAATCTTAGTCTCTTTGCTGCATGGCCTTCATAAAAGAAACTAGAACAGGGTCAAGTGTCTATTTACTGTTTCAAACGGATTACTGTTATACAATGTCAAAATGGAGACTTGGATAAGAGAAAAACTGATATAATTCATAACGAAAACAAATGGAAGGAAAAGTAAGAGACTAGCAAGAAATAAAGAGGATATAATGGCATCTACCAATAAGACAAGGTGGGTTAAAAAAGATCAAAATACTTGTCTGCCCCCTACTGTATGGTAGCTGTAAGGTTAATATTTATAGCTAGTCTTTGGCCATTAACATTCCACCTGATCAGTTTCACTTTTAAGGAGGCCTTGCAGTGAAAAATCTAACATTCAATATGTTTTTTAAAAGAAAAAAATAAAGTGTAATTGTCTATAAAGGCCATTCACCAGAGCCCCTTTCTTCACCTACTTACCATACCACCTGCAGCCTGCAGTACACAATTAAGTCTACTGCAGATAACAAGAAAAATAGTGAAGGACATCTTAACAGATTTTACAGACAAAAAATAAATACACACAAATGGAGAACTCAAATACAGAGTGAGTTATAAGAATAGTGTGGTCCCACAGACCAGGTTTTCCAATGTTTCCAAAGAAATTAAGTCTGGATACCTCAAACTATAGGGCATTTCCAAGAATAGGCTTACATACTATGATTTAAACAAAAAAAGAGGGGGAAAACTCTCTTGGGTTAGAGATTTTTAAGGAGCCAAAGACAAAGAAATGTTTCCTTTTCCTGTAAGGAAGGCAAAAAGGAAATTCAGCTTTAAATAACTCTTTTCCAATTCTTCTTGTTAATCTATTTTAAGAAAATTTAAAAATAGCATTCCGAATCCAAGTCACATAATATTCTATGGAGGACACTATTTTATAAGAATGTACAAATTACTGGTGTTCTATGGTTTTCTTTTAATACATAAAATTCTAGCCCACTTAAAAATTAATGGTTTCCTTGCTGTCACCACCTTTGGGGGGAGAATAGAGTATTTGTAAAGATTTCAAGTTTTCAAAGTGTCATATCCTCTTCAGAGAGTGAAAGTTTATCAAAATAATAAGCATTAAATTATTTTTCCAGCTGCAACTCTCTAACATTTAGTTGAAAGTCTGAAAGGACAGCCTCGTTCTTTAGATCAGTGATTCTCAACAAGGGGGCAATTTTGTTACCCAGGGACATTTAGTCCAGAGACATTTTTGGTTGTAACAACTGTGGGGGAGCTGGAAAGGGGATGTGCTCCTGGCATCTAAATAATCTTATAATGCACAAGAAAGCCCTTACAAACAACAAAGAACTATCCAACCCCAAATGTCAAATAATATTGGGTTGAAAAGCTGTTTCAGATATATCTTCTGAAGAGTAGGAGTAAGAAAAGTTAAAACCAAGTTCTCAGAATAAACTCATTTTCACATTTTGAAACGAAGTCTTAACAGGTAGAAACTTTTGAATACATATATATCTAACACTTTCTGAGAAAGTAAACTACATATAAATTCAATTTCTTTTATAAGAAAGTAACTCTATTAAGTACATAATACTACACATCAACCGAATGACCCAATAAGATTGATAGTTACATAAGGTTTTGTCAACAAAGTTCACCTTACTTCTCTTCACGTAACTTTGTAACTTTACAAAACATTGTTAGTCTTCAGATGATTCTAGAAGCATATAGAGAACTCCACATCTCATAAGTAAAACTGATCACTTCTTGAGTTCAAGCTAGGAATTTTTGAAGGCTTATTTCACATAATAAAAGCTTTGACAGGGTCAGGTTTCTAAATAAAAAGATTATCAGAAAACCAGTTAGGATGCAAGGTACACCTGAAACATACCTATCACACTCTTGGCAAAAGAAGCCCGCTTCAGGGTTGCCAGACCTAGGTCTCCAATCTTGACTGAGCCTGTAGGACCAGTGATAAAGATGTTGTCACACTTAAGATCTCGGTGAATAATAGGTGGAGTTCGAGTATGAAGAAACTGAAGTCCTTTAAGGATCTGACGGCACCAGCTTCTTAGAACTTTGATCTTCATCACCTTAAACCTTTTCAGGTACCTAGAAAAGGCAAAGCACACCAAACAGGTTATCAATGATATGAGTTTACTGCTTTGAAGAATTCCATTAATTCTAGCATATCTGAGATGGGAATATCAAATTTACACTATTAAGATTCAGTAACCTTAAAAGTTAGTGATACTTTTAGCAAGGTTAAAGGGGAAAGGATAACAAGTGGTTGGTAAATGAATTCTAACAACAAAGCACAGAAAGTGAATTCCTCAAAACTGGGTAACTAATAAAATAACTTAGAAGAGATAAAAAATAAACAACAACAATAAAAAAATAAAAGTTAAGGGGTGGAATTTGACTTCTGGTAAATGGAGTAATTCTTACTGGACACAGAACTGTAGTAAAAAATATAAAAACAACTACTTCAAGACTCTTGAGAGCAATCAAAATTAGGCATAAATTGGAAGGGAGTTCACATGAGGGGAAAAAGAAAGCACTGCTTGAGCTTCCTATTTTCTAAATCTTTTCACAGTTGAGGGAAGGTGCCAGCCTGAACATGCAGATCAGCTCAATTCTAAACAGAAGCCTGTAGTCTTATTAGCTGAGAAATAGAAGACAGAGTTCAAGATGACCACAGCAGCTAGCACAGTGCTGTCCAAAAGAACTTTCTATAATGATAGTCTGTTCCATATAGTATTCACTAGACAAATATAAATTAAAATTTAAAATTCCATTTTTCAGCTGCACTAGCCACATTTTAAGTGTTCAACAGCCACATGTATCAAGTGGCTACCATTTTGGATAGTACAGATTATAAAATATTTCCATCAGCACAGAGTTCCAGTGGACAGCAGAGATGGAGAAAGTAAAAGAGGGAAATCCCAGGGGCGCCTGAGTGGCTCAGTCGGTTAAGCGTCTGCCTTCAGCTCAGGTCATGATCCCAGGGTTCTGGGATCAAGCCCTGCATCGGGCTCCCTGCTCAGCGGGAAGCCTGCTTCTCCCTCTCTCACTCCCTCTGCTTGTGTTCCCTCTCTCGCTGTGTGTCTCTCTGTCAAATAAATAAAAAAAATCTTTAAAAAAAAAAGGAGGGAAATCCCAGAAGGGTGGTATAGAAGGGAGCCCCAAATCCTGAATATTCATTCTGCCCAAATCTCTGGTTGACCTCTGAAATACGTATTTTGTGAAGCAGATTCCAAGCAGCCCAGCTAATGCTAAAAGAATGGAACAGAGATTTCTGATGCTACCCACTGCTGGAAAGATAAAGTTTGTGGATTGGCTTCAGACATCTGAAAATATTCAGAATTATGAAGATATAAAAAATTACATTTGCCTCTTAGTATCTTTAAAATACACATGCCTAACTAAAGAACAATTTATAACATTGTATTATAGGGTCTATAGAATACATAAATGTAACATATATAAAAATTATAGCACAAAGAACAAGTATCAGGGACAACTGAAACTTTATCTGTAGCAAGGTTCCTTTACATGAAACTGTACAATATCAACCCAAAGTTTATTGTGAAAAGTTAAAGATATAAACACAATCTCAAAAGCAATTGCTTTTTAAAAACAACAACAAAACAACACAAGAAGGTTTCAACTAAAAAGCTAATACAGGAACTAAAATGAAATTCTACTTCACTTGGATGAGGTAATTAAAACTAATGGTGAAAATTGGTTTTATGGTTTAAAAAAATATTGAAACATACTACCTCTGTAGGGTGAGGGAAGGGCTGCCTAGGAGCCATAAGGGCATTTACTAAGATAATACAAATGTTCTATACCTTAATAGGATTTTGATTACATAAGTGAATATGCCTTTGTCAAAATTCATAGAATGATACCATTATGATTGATTACACTTTTCATCATATTTAAATATTACTGTAAGGAAAAACAAAGCATATAAATATTAGAACTTTAATGAAATCAGCACTTAAGTGTTTACGTGAAGCATACTGATGTCTACAACTTACACTGGAATAAATAAAATTAATAAAATCAAGTATATAAAATATAACAGATAACTATATATTAACCTTGTATCTTATAATTTCATTAAATTTATTTAGAAACATTGGAATTTTCTATGTGAACAATTACATAACCTGCGAACAAGAGCAGTGGTATTTCTTCCTTTCCAATCTTTATGCCTTTTACTAGTTTTCCCTGTGTTTACGCCTTATTGCAATGGGTGGCCCTCTGAAACAATAGTGAATATAAAGTGGTTAAAACAAGCATTCTTGCTTTGTTCCTAATCTCAGAGGCAATGGTTAAGTTTGACATATTAGTTATAGGCTGGAGGAAGTTCCCTACTATTCCTAGTTTGGCTAAGAGTTTTTAGCCATGAATAGATAGATATTGAATTGTCAAATACTTTTTGACAGATTTTGAAAATATGGCTTTTCTCCTTTATTCTGTTAATGCTGAATAACATTGATTTACTCAATGTTAAACCAACTTTGTGATCCTGGGATAAACCCTCTGGTATTGCTGTATTGTGATTGCTGGATCCAATCTGCTATTATTTTGTAAAGGATTTTTGCATCAATATTCATGAAGGACATTGTTCTTTAAAAATTTCTTTTTCCATAATATCTTAGGTTCTGGTATTAGTGTTATGCTGGCTTCATAAAATGAGTTAGACTCTAATTGTTCCACCTCTATTTTTTGAGAAAATTCAACACAATGGATTTTCCCATTTTTTAGTAAGATAAAATATACATAAAACTTACCATTTTAAAGTGATATTAATTAATTCATACTGTTATGAAATCATCACCACCAACTATCTCCAGAACTCTTTTCATCTTGAAAACTGAAACTTCATACCATTGAACAATAACTCCCCAAAACCAACCCCCCTTGGGTTCTGGCACCCACCACTCTACTTTCTGTTTCTATGAATCAACTACTCTAGGTATCTCATAGAAAGTGACATCAAGCAGTATTGGTATGTGACTTTTGTGACTGGCTTATTTCACGTTGCATAATGTCCTCAAGGTTCACTCATATTACAGCCCATGTTAGAATTTCCTTGCGATCCTTAAGGATGAAAACTATTCCACTGTGTGTGTAGACAGACAGACAGACAGACACACACACACACACACACATTTTGCTTATCCATTCTTTCCTTGATGGACACTTGGGCTGCTTCTACCTTTTAGCTATTGTAAATAATGCAACTATAAATATGGGTATACAAATATCTCTTCAAGACCCTGCTTCCAATTCTTTTGGGTATGAGCCCATAAGTGGAAGTGTTCGGTCATATGGTAATTAAGTTGAGATATAATCGACATATAACATTATATTTGTCTCAGATGTACAATGTAATGATTCAAAATGATCTCTATATATTGCAAAATGATCACCACAATAAGTCTAGTTAATATGTATCAAAACACAGTTACAGGTTTTTTCTTCTTGTGATGAGAACTTTTAAGATCTACTCTTTGCAACTTTAAAACATGTAATACAGCATTATTAACTGTAGTCACCATGCTGTACATTACATCCCCAGGACTTACTTATTTTATAACTAAAAGTTTGTACCTTTTGACCACTGTCACCCATTACATACATTCCACCCCCGTGCCCCCAACTACAGCAATCACCAATCTGTTCTCTGTATTTATGAGTTCAGTTTTTTCTTGTTTTGGGTATTTTAAAATTTTTTTAGACGTCACATATAAGTGAGATCATACAGTATTTGTCTTTCTCTATCTGACTTATTTAACTTAGCATAATGCCTTCAAAGTCCATCCACATTGTTACAAATGGCAAAATTTCCTTCTTTTTATGGATGAACAATATTAATAACCCATCATACATATACACCACATCTTCTTTATCCATTCATGTTGTAAATAAAGCTGTAATGAACAGGTGGTACATATATTTTTTCAAATTACAGTACTTCTAATTTTAATTTTTTGAGGAACCTCCATATAGTTTCCCACAATGGCTGCACCAATTTACATGTCCACCAACAGCACACAAGGGTTCCTTTTTCTCCACATCCTTGCCAACACTTGTTTTCCTTGTCTTTTTGATAATAGCCATTCTGACAGATATGAGGTGGTATCTCATTGTGATTTTGACTTATGTTTCCATAATGACCTGTATTTATTGGCCATTAAATCTTTTTGGAGAAATGTCTATCCAGGTCCTTTGCCCGTTTCTAATAGGGTTTTTTAATGTTGTTGAATTTTGGGAGTTCTCTATATATTCCAGATATTAATCCCTTTTGAGTTATATGATTTGCAAGTATTTTCTCCCATTCTGTAAGTTGCTTTTTTACTCTATTAATAATATCTTTCAATGTACAGAAGTTTTTAATTTTTACAAAGTCCAATTTTAAACACACTGGATTTAAAAACCTTTGATATATGGCATACATTTCAGACAATACTAATAACAAAGTCACTTCTGCTTTCTGGTAGAGAGTAGTAAGTCTTCTTTTTATTGATGAAGACAGTGAGCCCAAAGTTATACAACTATTACAAGATAGAGATGGCAAGTGAATT